GAACCCGAAGTCGTCCAAAACCAAAATGTCGACAAGGCTGGAGACGAGAATTCAGATATTTCTGAGGGAAATAACGATGATGTAGAGGAAACTTTTGAACTGAAGCATACTGTAGCGCAGCAGGCAGCGAATGTTAGAAGTCGTCCACCATCGGAAGAAGGTGGTCGTGATGGTTCCTCTGGTAGTGGCGCTACTTTTACTGAAAATGGAGAACAGGACAAGGCAAATGGAGATGAAATTGAGAAGAAGAGTGAGGCAGATGACCATTCGGAGCCGGTGCCGGAAAGCGAACGGCACTCGCCCGAACAGTCCGCCGAACCATGTGAGGAAAGAGGTCAGGTGGTGGTGAACGAAGCCCAAGCTGAGGCGGGTGCTGAGAGTCCCTTGAAAAGTGTGTCTCCAGTTGAGCTAGTTGAACAGAAACCAGATGATGCTGGAACCAAGAGCGGTGAAGAAACTCCGCCGAACACCCCCACACCAGAAAACACTGAAAGGAATCCAGACGACACCGGTGAGAAGAATGGAGAAGAGGCTTCTTCGCTGAACTCCCCGACAGAAAAGGAGATTGATCGAAGTAAGGATGAAGTAGAGAAGGAGGATGATGGGTCTCCTTCACAGAGCACTCCCACAGCTCTCGCAGCTGAGGAAGCCGATCAGAATGCAGGAGGGACCGAGAAGAAGAATGTCGAAGAGGCTTCTTCACCAAGTATCACAGCAGTCAATGAAACAGCCCAGAAAGTAAATGAGACCGAGGTTCCAAACGACGAAAACGCTGGCAGTCAGGCCATATCAATTAGTCCAATCAAAATGAATGGAGACCTACCCTCACGGTGGGTTGATTTTTGTATCAACCGTTTCCAATCAGGCAGATCTGGTTCGTTCCGATTCAGAAGCGATTCGATCACTACGACAAACTCAGATATTCAATCCGTACCAAAAAATAACATCTCAAAAGTTACTCCAGAGGTACGTGACCTTTTCATATTTATTGTACTAAATAATCCTGAAACGGGGCATGAGTCAAGAGGCGCCACGCGACGTCGCGTGCGGTTCGTTGTATCGCGTGAGTGGTGGGGGCCCACTGGATGGAAGACACTTTTTCGAACTTTTCTATTCCTAAACGTCTCATAAAAAGGTCAGATTAGGAGGGAGAATGGGAAAGCAACCGAATTTCTCTCTATCATATCATCTTGCTTAGCGGGTTTAGAACTTGGAGAATGGCAAAGTGAACTCCATTAAGACAACTATCAAGGAATCGAAGAGGGTTCTTGGCACGAATATGCCGTCCTCTGACTNTTATCCTCTAAAACTTATTAAAACAACCATTGTTTGAACTTTTGAATGTGTTGGTTCTTTTTAGATGATCTATGAAGTCGGACATAAGTACCACATCAAGTCACATATCAACACAGCCACTCGTACTCCCGTGGTCGTCCAGGCGGTCAGTATCAGTATTTACTGAGCATCTTAAAACACTTCATTTCACAAATTCTACAGTACCTCTAGAAAACAAAGGTGAGGTAGCGCCAAAAGATGCGCCATGACGCTACATTACCTTGATTTACGAGGTAGTCACGCAGTAGCTGAAGTGCCGCCCCGCCCACGACCAGAGCACGACCTTTGACGTTAAAGGGTACGCTGATTCGCTCTGGTTAGAAGGTGCGTAGCGGCCTAAACTGGGCTAGGTGTAATTGAATTGCCGAGTAACTCAAAGAAAAAGTCCTCACTCTGTTGGCAATGTAGGGTATGGGAGTTAAGTCGACGTAACTGTTGTTTGAGCTCCAGCCAGCCTAAAAAGAAGACTTAGGCACATCAAGTAATAAAGGATAAAGGATAAATTTTTGGTGTTAATCAATCCCGTCTGAGGGATGCGCCCCCGCACTCGAACTCCATTCTGAATCGTAGTGGCGTAATGAATGCATATGTGGTCTATACAGTGAATTGCGGTGGCCAGCCGGTGTACAAATCAGTGCTTTCATCCTCCCAGACGAGTCTGGTACCAACTGACCGACCCCGGAGGGATGGAAGGCTTGGTTGACCTAGGTGGACATTGAACCGGGATTCGAACCCCTGACCGTGCGTGTGAGATAGTGCGTGCCACTGCCCACCTCTGCCCACATCAAGTAATAGTTCCTGTAAATTTTAGTGAAGTCTTTTTTGAAGGTGCCTGTACCTCGGAATCTGTTTCGGTCACCAACGACAACGAGGAAGTTTGCACCTGAGGATCTAGCCGAAAAGGATGTAAAACCAGTACTGCTTCAACCTCGCTTCGTACATTAGACATTTATTTGCTCAATACAATCCGCTGTTATGTAACGAGGTCTATTTATTGTAATTTTTGAGTACTCGACTGTTTACGTTTGTGTTTCTTTATTTGCTGTGTTTTTTTGGGAACGACCAAATATTGACTTTTCAACAACAAATTGCTTACGTTCTACAAGCGTTTTTCATGAGCCCCAGGCTTCTTTACCAATTTTTCACCCATCCATCCATGTTGAAATGAGATTTTAACTACAATGCTTGTTTCGTTACTACTTTAATGCTTGTATAAAAGGCATCTACTACCACTCCGATTACCTGTAGAGGATTATTCTGCGGTAGGCGGAGCTATCATCGTGCTGGTTGACGGTTGTCTCGAGCCTTTGCTGGCTTTTTGCTCGAAGCTACTCGCAACTAAATAGAGGGACACGGGGGACGTGCAATTCGTGCGATTCCGGGTGCGCGCGGCAAATTGCGCGGCGAAATTCGCGATGATTCAAACAACTTCTGCGCCTATTATCGGAGCTCAAACTTGAAGCAGAGTAGATCAGTAGGATCAGCTGACCATACCCAACTATTCTACTTCAAGTTTGAGCCCCAATAATAGGTATCAGAGTCGTTCGAATCGCACCACACCTGAGGGACACACTCACCACCCGCATTTTGTTGACCCAGTCCAAAAAAAACTCGTTGGCTGATAATGAAGACGAAAACAAATGGTTTCTGTTCTTTTATTACTTATGAATAGTTCTACAATGGGAGCTGCGTTTGGGAATAGAGGAATAGGTTTCATCGTAGCATTCTTTGAATCGGTACATCGATAAAACAAAGCTCGTTCCTCAGTTATTCATACCATTCAACATTATTATTATTATTCACGTGCAATTGCGTACAGCTTGAGATTACCGTAACCTACCACTGGAATTATTCTTATCTTCAGCGAAGGTGAAGATTGTTCCTGCTCTGTCTTTTTCTATTAGTCGTTTTTTTCATACATCCGTCATCTCAATTACAACTATAGACCAATTGAGCTAAAGTTATACGATTACCATCAAGTCGATGCTCCACAGAATGCGGTTTCCCTTATATTATGCTGTTGAGAAAACCGAAAGTTAGTCTTCCCTCAACCATTAGACCAGGATTGTTCCAGCTCGTAGATGGAAACAGGGATTATTGGTTTTCAATAGTTCTTGTGTATGGTGACGATCATCTGGTCTTGGAATCCGTTTTCCTTACATCGGCGGAATCCCAACAATGTGGCAGCGGTCAAAAACACTTTTTTCTTGTTGCCGTTGGATCTAAATGACGAGAAACGGCAATGGAAATGGTCAGAATTTTAGCCAGTCTTAGTACCGCTTTTCCATCGGAGTTCACGGAATCAAAACTATTCGGTTTTTCTTTTTCAGGCAATAAAAATAGTTACGATTATGTATTTGCTCGAGAAGCGCAGTTACTCCTTCATCTGTGACCATAGTGGCAGCTGACTTCACGTCAAAATACCTTATACCTCCGTTCCTACACTGCACTTTACTACTGCTTTCTTGATATCCTATTACTATAGCTTTCCGCATAAGACATTTCCCTCAGCTGTCATTTTATACACTCTCAGTCGACTGACCCAAAAGTACTGGTGTAACCACTCCAGTTGTGTTTATCATTTCGCATCCATCCATCCCGCATACTGTCACATTTAAGAATAGTAAGACGGTCTTCACAATTCCTCCGGAAAATGCGCAAAAACGAAATATTTAGGAAAGCATCCCGAACCTGAAGAGCCGCCGGGTCCCACAACGAATCAGTCGCAAAAGTTAATGATTACGGTACGAAAATAGATAGCTGTTGCGCAAAATTGCTGTATTTCGGGTTAGGTTCAGGATGCAGTAGAAGGAGTCTTTAAGAACGCACACACACAACATTCCAAGAGACAAGACTGTAGTCAAAAGTGCCAGGATAGACAGTCATCGTTAGTTTGGTCAACGAGTATCTCATCAGGAGGGTGCAGAAAAAATAAGGAACGGAGCCGGCGCCGTGTTCGGTCACTGCTGGCTTTATGGGGATAACGAAATCGTGCCTCGTCCATTCGATCGATCGATATCTATTGGTTTGCGCCTTCTTCGCAATCAATAACTGCACTCATCATATCCCTTAAGACCAGACCGTTCTTTCCGCTAAAAGAAAGGACCAGCCAACTCGTTCCAGTTTGCTCTTTCGTGTTGAGAAAATCAGCGGTGCCTTATCACCGGGTGTGTGTCAAGTGGTGCGTCCGAGAGGCGCGCGGCAAATTGCGCGACGAAGTTCGTGGCGAATTTGGACGACTGCGGCGTTTATCATTGGGGCCCAAATCTAAAGTGGGATAGATAAGTAAGGTCAGCTGATTCTACTATTCTACTGTACTTCAAAATTGGGCCCAAATTATAGGCGCTAAAGTCGTCAGAATAGGTATGAACATCGCCG